AGTGAAGCCCTTAAAATTTGAGGACACCAAAATAAAGATGGCCTGTGCAATATCCTTTTTTTCATCCTTGTGGAAGCACCCGTTGTGCAGCTCTGCAGAGGATTATGTGATGAAGGTGTGTGATTGTTGAATTTCTCTCATTTTTTTGAGAGAAGTGTTGGACCTAGGGTGTCTTCTGAGGTTCCTGCCTCATTCAAAGYATCATTCCAAGTCAAGTCAGGTAATACTGCTGTAGAGAATTGGGCTCCATCCCTGCTGTATTGGRAATTCTCATCACCAGCAGAAATTGCTGTCATCTCAATTCTGGTGTGACAGATTTCTGCTATTCAGCATGAGATTCTCGGTCTCCTTTGCAAAAGCATTGCACATTTACAGTGAAGCCAGTGTTGCGGAGTAGTTGAGACAAGGCTCTCAGCCAGTCATGAGAAAGTGGAATGATTAGGTGGATTATGATTAGATTTATTGTTAATATGTATTTAAATATTACCAATGCATTTTMTACTCTTGTAGGCCAGTGTGCATCAAAATCAGTAACAACATATCAGCTGTGAGCATCCAGAGAGATCTTTCTGCAATGCCCTCCTGGTATTCTTAGCTTTGGACAAACCCCATTGTCCATCAGAGACAGCAAAAAGGAAGAGGGTGTGTGTGGGGGGGAAAAGGATGCACATGAAGACCAAAATAGGTTTCATTGCCACCACTGTCAGTCAAAACATAGATAGGAAAATAGTGCCAAATACTCCAAAAAGTCAAAACTTTTTAAAAATTTCTTTAAATAGAGTTGCCCAGATCAGTGATTCTTAGGATTTTTTTTCTCTTTGCTTTAATTCCCTAATTGATGAAACAAAGTTTGCCTTGTGTCCCCTGCATTGCTATGAAATTATTCTGTTTGTGAAGCATGTCAATAGCATAGCAATAAGCAGCGTAGGAAAACCTGTGAGATTCGTATTTCTCTCTTTAAATTTGTAAAAAGCCAGACACTGCAAGCTGTTTGAGAATAGAAGAAAAACCATAGCCATAACWTTTTTTTAGTCAAATACCTCCTACTTTGTTCAGTGAGTATGTCTAATCCTGGGGAGGAAAAAAGTATGTGATTACATTACACCTCTTAAGAGTTATMATAATGCACATTTAATGGGGAACAAATAAAACCCCACTAACTCTGGACTTCCCTAGATTTTKAATTCTTCTCTATAGAAACGTGATTTATTGCTGTTTATTGTTTCTTTGTATAGCTGTTATGAGCAGAGGAGTGTTCATAGAACACGGGTGGGCAAACTGGTGGAGTGTAAAGAGCAGGAATTAATGGAATTTTGAACTTAAACTAAAATATCAAATGTTCTGTCAGCATKGTGTAACTTTGGTRATTTATGTGTGTTGGGGATTAACWGTGTGGSTGATAGAGTTGTTACCAGCTAGCTYGAAGCAGAATTGGTCTAGCCAGGTCCACTTGGGATCAGAATGTCTGCAATTACTTGGAAGTYTCTGTACTGCATTCCCAGTGTATACTGCTTCCCTGTGAGATGTTCTCACCCTCTGAGGCAGTGGAGAAGGGACTGTAAAAAGTGTATTGGTTGGTTTGTTTCTTGTCTTTGTCCTTGTTTCAGTGTAGTTTTATGTTATTGCCGAAATGTACTTTGAATTTTCCTTTAGGGTGTATATTTTATTAGATCAGGGTGGTGACCACAGCAATGACTGCAGTGTCAGAGTGTAGCACAATGCATTTGCAGCCACTCTTCCACTTGGGAAARCACCTTGTCTTCCACCTTGAAATATGGCATGAAGAAAAAGACCCCATTCATCTAYATGGTACCGATTTCACGGAATACCATTAGGAAACTGCTTTCATCCAGCTTGCTCTCTTGTTTTCCTTTCTAATGCTTTCCTGAAACTTGCATTCATGTTGTCTTCTTCAATGTCAGTTGWGCACACAGGCACTGGAGCAGACACTTGGCAGCCAAAAGGGAAAACAGGTTTAGAAAGAGCTGTCTCTGCAGCACTGTCAGTTTTCCTGGCTGTACTAATGTTTAATTCAACGTGCATTCAGCCCCTACCTTGGGAAAAGAGGAGCAGCTGATGCTGCCTTTGCTTTGCTGCTGCCTTCTTTTTTTTTAAAGTGAGGAGCCATGTTCTCTAACATTGTAAGTGCTTTCACAGTTTGTACCATAATGTTTGGTTACTTTTATGAGAAGGACTCTCAGTTTTATGAGAGCAAATCATTGAAAGATTTGAACTGAAAAGGCATTCAATTTCTCTTCCCTGTCTGAATGGAGGTTTGGTAGAGATTCCTCTGTGTCTGTAGTGTGTGTGTAGGAAAAATAAATGAATGCCAGAAGACTGCAGCACAATGACTCCATATGGTTTCCAGGATTCTGAGGAAATTGCTGCATGCACTGAATTTTAGGTAGATGTRTTCAATCAGTTGTTGAAGTTTTTGATGGTTAAACTGATGGCAGAAGGTTTTGTCAGGCTCCCAGTTGTCTTCATCCTTGGGATAGGAAGAATGGGTTGATGGATAATGCAAGCAAGATCATTGTTGATGTTTCTACTTGGAGAAAATGCATCCAAATAGTAATGGAAATATAAGTGTAATAAAATGGGCTTATCCTCACCATTTATTACATGTGTATTAGAAATAAATATGACACTGGTATTCCTAGTGTGGTGACTCTGAATAGGATGAAAAGCTTTTGGTGAATAAAACTCTGCAGTTAGTGGGTTGCTGGCATGGTAGGGCTTTAGGAATGGGACCTTCAGAAGTGCCACTGGGTTTGTGTTCCTCTGATCTGGTTTCTGTCAGCTGACCAGTAGCAAATCAAAGAAATCAGTAGAAGGTGAAGGAGGCAATAAACTTCCCACCTCCCAGGCTATCTGTCACTCACAAAGGCTGACAGACTGAACTGTGAGGAAATGATAATTCCTCGAGGGAGCGTGCTATGCTCTGGGGCTGTGATGTCTGGGTCTGAGGATGGGACAGCGCTTCCCTGGCCACCCTAATGCACTGTCCAAAGTGAAATTCCAGGCTTTTCTTTAAAATTCTCTTGAGCACTGCAGGTGCTAGCACTATTCAAAGTCTGGCATTTCTCTTCAGTGAAAGATAACCCATCAAAATGAGTGGATTCCCACAAATTTCTTATTTAACATCAGCCATCACCTGTAGTAATGGTATTTCAGCTGATATTTTGCCAGAGGCAGACTCTTGTGCTGGGATTAGTACTCAAAACCTGTTAGTTCATTAAAACAAAAGACAAGGTTAGCAGATGACTTTGTTTAAGTATGTTTTCTTGGGGTTGATACAGTAAATAAAACAAAAATGTGTGATGYGGTGATGCATATTGAAGGATGGCTGGTTCATTTGTTGTGTGGTTTATTGATAGAGGCCCAGAAAACTCACYGGGAGAATGGAAGAGGAATATGTTCCTTAAGGATAAAGATTTTACTGAAATGAAGAATAAGTCTTTAAACTTAATAGTCTTTATGCAAAATACACTTCTTTGCTACTAACAATCCACTGGTAGAATATTTTGAATTTATTTTTAAATTTTCTATGTAAATTCATTCACTGGTTTAAAAACTAGGAATTGAAGAATTGCTGGCTGTATCTTGCATTTTGGAATGATCTCCATTTCATTGTATTTAGTGTGGTTTGCCAGTTTGAGCATTCCCTCTGCCCTTGGGATACACACAYTGGCCATTCTGGGATTTGAGCAATTTTTTGCAGTCAGGGCTCTCGTTCTCTTGAGACAGTGTAAGAATTCCTGAAAATAGCTGTGCTAGTGCAGAGCCTAATCATCCAGTGCACCTTATATCTTTGCAATGTTAATTCTACATGCACAGTCTGGTTTTGTAAGTTTGTGATTTCAGAAGCATTTATGCAAGGCAGTTGTGACCAGAACGAGTTTTGTGTCTTGGGTGTGAACTCTCCTRTGTATCTGTTTAACTCTGCAAAGGAGTACTAAAGAATGCCTCTTGGTTTGGCAAATGTCACACAGAGAGATTATTCTGCTGTGTGGAAGGAGGCTTTTGTCCCAGACTCTCACTTTGAAAACTGCCTGTGTTTAGTTGGGCTGTTCTGTATGTGAGGCAGGTATTGCCAAGCAGCTTTTCAAGGAATGTTGGATGATTTTTACCAGATGTGTTCAGAAACCAGATGTGGAAGGCAGAGYCTATCACTGAGTATTTGCTGGTTAATTGAGTGCATACTTTTGGTTTTTTTATTCTGAACATAATTCCAGAAGCTGAGTTGTGCAAGCACATCAGGGAAGTATCATGCCATTTGACTGAAACCGTGCTGCAGAAGTGTAGAAATGTAAGAGAAGAATTCAGAGAAAAGTGTTTCCATAATAAAAGCAATAACTATTTATTGATTAAAAATAACATTTATCTATACATTGCAGGTCTGCTTTTTTTTCTATTTTTTTTTTTTCTGAAGAGATTGTATGCTATGTTTGTTGGGAATATAGGTAATTATGAAGTGAAAGCAGGTTTTGAATTTTCCATGAAGCTCTTTTCTAAAGTATCTGTATTTTATTTAATGTTTTTAATATGTGATTCTCTTTGAGCTGAAAAGGATTATCATTCGGTATTCTGATATGCAATGCCTTTCAGCTTTTTTTTCTAAACTTTTAAGCCCTCTTAATCGAGAATCACTATGAAATTATATTTAAAATGCAATATTTTAATGTGAACAATGAGAGTTGAGTGGTGTTGTATCTTTRTGGTGTTTATGGTGATACTGTCCTTACCAGTTTTAGAATGATACTAAAATTCAGGTAATTAATYTACCAAATGCAGGGTGTTAGAAAAAAATATTAATTTTCATTTGTTGAATATTCATATCATTTATCAAGGTTGTTAAATAAAATGAGTGTAAAGGTACATATGTGGCTGAAATAAAAATCTTATTTTCCATTTGTTCTGTCCACTCTTAAGTAGAAGGGTATTTATTGCTGCAGTCATACAGATATTAATACAGTTTTCTCCATCTGACTTTCTTTTAGCACACTGATTTATGTCAGTACATGGACAAACACCCTGGAGGGCTTCATCCAGAGAATGTGAAGGTAAGAGTCAAAAAGAGCACACATTCAAGGCAAATGCAATAGCAGTAACTTGTGAAAAATGTCATGTCAGTTGTTTCATAGAAACTGATTGCTAGCTAAAGGGAAAATGACTGGCATATTAATTATATTTTTAAATATTTGTTTTATTTAAAAATAATTACAAATTCATGTATTTGAGCATTCCCACTGTAGAACTTCTAAAGTTTGTAAARTTGAATCAGAGCCAAAATATATTCGTGAATGCTGTTAACAGCATTGGTAATCCCTCTCCTCCTTTTGAATATTTGCTGTTAAGACAATAATGCCCTAAAACCCCAGGGTAACATGCTTTAGGCTGTCACTGCTAGATCTTYAGTTAGGTAAGTCAGTGTGGGTTCACCAAGTTTGAGGGAACTATAAYTAATTGTATTAGCTGAATGTTCTGMTTTTTATATGAACATATARAATCTTCCCTAATCTTTTTGCTCACTTACTTGGATGAGATCAATATTTTCATAGCTGATCTCACTTTGGAAATTTTTTTTCCTTCTAAGGTAGATACTGGGAAACATGACATAGGAAGGAGAGAGTTTATTAGCAGGATTTAATTGAAAGACAGATGAGTAGAGACTTGATCCAGTTACTATTTGGGAAATGATTTTAGCATCAAACGGAAGCCAACCAGACATGCAGAATGTGTGGTGTGTAAATAGATCACTCAGATGATGTTTGTTACCCTTGTCTTGTACATGGACATCAGTCCCATTGTTGTTCTTCTTTGGAAATGTTTAAGTCTTCKCTTGTCATACTGAAAACTTTATTCCAGTATTTAAGTTACGGAAATGTAGAAGTTTGTGAAAACTCTCTCTCTCTCTTCTGGAAAAGTTAGAAACCCTGTTTGGTTTAAGAAAAYGAAAATTATTTTAAAGAGAAGAAGWATTTTTTCTTCTGCCATAGCTGATCATTGTTGCACATGATCAAGTAGCTTCATTAATTTTCTGTGTTCTTTGAATGAAAAGTGGCATCTACAATGTGTGAATTTAGATTAGAATTGCTGCCATCTAAAAAAAAAATTCCTCATTACTGCATATATTTGGCAAAAAAAAACCCCTTAAAATTTAAAAATAAAAGGGTTCTTTTTGAAAATACTTGGTGTGCATGCTGCAAGGTAGCATCATTGTAATGTCTGTCACTCAGACATTTTGCCAGTATGGTCAGGGAAAGCCTGTGGGTCTCATCCCATTGCCAGCTTCACTGGGCCTCCATGAGTGTGGCAGTGAAGGGGTGAAGTAGGACCTGCTTTTCCACCCCTAAAACTTCTGAGCTTTCTTCACTGCCCAGTTTCCTAAAGCAGAGTTTCAGGTGTTGAATGTGCTTGTTGAAACAAGGGGGTTGTGTTTCATTTCCTTGTGTGGATACTTTTATGTTAATTTCTCTGAGTTTTGGGGTAAATGGAGATGGTCTTTGAAGATTCTTTGTGCTGCTTCAGATTTGTAAGTTTTACTCCAGGGTTGCCGTGCTGTGTAGTCAGTGTAGCTGGAATTGTTCCCTGGTAAAAAAGACATAATAATTCACATAATTGGACTTTTATTTCATCACATCAGGGCCTAGTGAGCTTGTCTTTGATGAAGATGGATATAATAGTTGGCCTTGCTAGTSTGTCACTCCTCTAAATCCTGAGCTACCTGTCTTTCAAAACAGGAGCAAAATGCTRCTGTTTCCCTCTTTCAGAGGGAACTGCAGCAGCAGCATTTCCCTTTCAGATTTTGCTGCATGTATTCCTGTGGCCACCTGTACCATCTAATAGTGCTCAGCAACACTTTTGAAGCTTATAGGCACATTRGAAATATTTCTTTGAGTAGCCAAGTGTACAAGTGTAGCCAAGTGTACAAGTTTACAATCCTGATGTATGACTGGTTCAAGTTTTTTGAAGTCCCAATGGATTATTAATTAAAGTAATTGAGGGGAGAGGAAAAAAAATTTGAAAGTTGGAGCAGATGAAACTTCAATCAGCAGCTGAAATATGAGAAGTCCCATTGAACAATTAACCTTTTTTTTCCTCTTAAATAATATTGACAAAAATGTTTTATATATTTAGAAGACTCTCTTGCCAGGCCAGCAGCAAAGGCTAACCTTAATTATGCAGTAATTATTAAAACCTGGCATGATGATTTGAGATCCTACCACTTTAATGAATGAATCAGCCTGCTTGGGATTTTCAGTGCAATACCTGCTCTCAAAGCTGAGTTAAAAATAGCCAAGAGAGTGATTTCTTCAGCTGGGAGGACAGAAACCCAGTCATGTATGCTAAAAATTCCCAGACGTTCACCAGCATGCCAAACTAAAAGCTGGYGCTGCAGTTCTGTTTCAGAGGAAGTAAAGTGTTTTTTTCATAATACCTTCATGCTTTGTTGTGCTCTGCTCAGTTTGCTGACTTATGCAATTGGGAATCTKAGACTTTGCCACCTCTTTTGGTTTTAGCTTCTGGACAAAGTTGTCTGTTTGGATCCACAGCTGATTTCTAAAGGTTAAGCTGAGCCATATTAATTAGCCTTCCCCCCTGCTAGCCCCTTCTTTCCAGAGATCCTTCAATAATTTAACTTTTAGTCAGACTTTTGGACAGTGTTTGTTCAGACTCAGTGGTTGTGTGATCCCTAAATCCATTTTAAAAGCTTCTAGTTAAGCAATTATATTCCAGTAGCAATAAATTAGTCTCGGCTCTCTGGGGCTAACCTGTAGGATTAAGYCATTGATGCTCCCCCAGTATGACAAAAGACCCCCTGCCTTTTAATTTTGTTCTTGAGGAAAGTGCTGCCTACTGATGGATATTCCTTTCTGGCTTGTTGCCAGTTATTATAAATACAAACCCACATAATCATACATCTTTCTYTTCCCAAAGAATATGCACAGTAGTTCCTGTAAAACAGTATTTTATAGGAAGGCAGAAGCAAAACTATYATTTACTTACATTTTAGTTTCTAAAGGATATCTTCAGTCTAATTATATTTCTGAATTTTCTCTGTATTTGTAAGCCAAAGACAATGCTTGTTCCCTCAGGCTTACTTTTAAATGAAGAATTGTAAATAGAATAAAAATCCAAATTACTTTGATGGACACACATATTGCTGTCCCCTTAGGTGTTGTGTTTGACATTGCCTTCCTTTGTGGTTTTAAACAGGCTATTTGCTGTCATTTARCTATTTTTAATAAAGACTATTAGGATATTATAAGTATGTGGAATTAKAAAGAAAAATGTCTCAATTGGTGGCTGTAGAAGTCTGGGGACAGTGTGCTTAGGCTAATAAAACAATATTGCTTCCCAAAATATTAAGTTTAACATTTTTATTGGTGTATATGCATCGATACATAATGATTTCAGAATTTTATAATTCTGGGGGTGATGGGTGACAAATAGCATCAGGCTTTAAACCCTTCAAGGAATGTGTGTGTGAAGCTGAGATGTTTTAAAAATGCCTATCCCTGATAATGTTAAACCAGTTATCCTGATGACATAAATGTGGTCAGGTACATCTTCATCAGTCAGAAGGGAAATTGGCATACAGCAGTTGTTTCAGTCCATATGTTCTGCAAACTCCATTAGCTCCAAATACACAATTATTTACATCTTTGGTAGCTGACAATCTTGCATGYCTACCCTTTATTTATAACTATATGTTAATAGGCTGTCTACTGTGTTAGAGATGTTGAGARAAAAGGTAATCAGTTAATAAGTCCCTGGGTAGCAGGCATGGCTTTATCTTCTCTTGTCTGCTTTTCAAGATGTCTTTCTCAGTTTTTCCACATCCAAAGGCAAGCAATAAATCTTAAATACATGGCCCCACATATAATTATGTTTCTGCTGGAAGCAACCACTGCAGCCCTGTCCATGGCTGGAAATAGGAATTGATTTATATGTGTACCGTGTCAAGCTGCAAAATGTGCTGTGGCAAACTGAGGAACAAGATTTTCTCCTGACTCTCCCTGTGCTGGGAAGAGTTCCTCTGGGAACTACTGGAATCTGTACTCCTGACTTTCTCTCCTGCAGTGTTGCAGCCTTTAGAGATAATCCATGCTCAGTTGGAACATCTGGGTTGCTTGCAACAGCTGGAACTCTAATGGGTCAGTTCAACTAGCTGACTCGACCATTTTTTTGGGATTTTTTTTGTTTTAATTTTTTTTTTGTTTGCTTGTTTTTTTTTGTTATGATCTTCATTCTGATTTATTTCTCTTTCTGTTGGGTACAGGGCTATCTCCATCAGTCTTGTCTTATCTTCTTGGYTCTTCTGAGCCTTTGTTTGCAGCTGTCCATAAATGGCTCTGGTTTTGCAAATCCATAATTTAATTTTTAAGTAACTTTTTATTTGTGCATGTCAGCATGTCCTGTGTAAATGTAACTGTTTTTAGCTTCTTCTAATCTTTAAAATATCACCTTTATTTTAACTGTGTCTTTTACTCTGTGTTATTATGCTCCCAGTAATGCACATAAATTCATCTTTATGCCTTGATGCATTTATTTTGTAGTTGAGTTTGTTTACTGTAACTCTTATTACTGGTAGAATAAGTGGAGCAAAGGCTTGCATCTGTCATGCCTGCATTGCTTGTTTGCATCCCTGCCTTAAAAATAAATCCATTAATGAAAGCTGATTTGCTTCTTAATTAGTGATGCTGCCTTGAGATAGCTGTAGTCTTTTGAGAAAAGCATCCTGAATTTTTTTCTCTCTGCCTTTTTTCTTCTACTTTCAGTGTTAGGAATAATATCGATTTGTGTGAGCATTTGACAGAAAAAAAAAAAATTGGCAATATAAAAAGGCACTTGCCTCTGACCCACTGTTCCTTAATCTGTGCAGCACCAGCCTGAATGACAGTGGGTTGTCAACCAGACAGAAATTGTCCCTGTCACTTAATCACTCTCAAAATCTTTACTTCAGGCAACTYGGAAGCCTCCTGTAGTCTGCTGTTACCAGAGGCAGTAGGAACTTCCAGTTTGTTCTTATTCTATCTAATATTGCTGCACTGATTTG